GAAACCCCAAAAGCAAAAAACAACCCACAAACAAGCAACACGGGTGAAGTATTTCAGGAAAGAAGGAGAACAAGAGTAAGGTCTCAACTCCAAGAAAATAACTCACAACCCAAAAATACATCAGGGAAAAGATCTGTGGGCCCTTTGTGGAAAAAAAACAAACCAAACCAAAATCAAACTAACATAAACTTTCACATTTCCTCCCCAATCTTGCACACCCCCCCCCTCCCAATTTTGGAATTCTTCCCTAAAATGGATGATCCATAAGAACTCTGGTTTTGATTAGAATGTCTTGCCGGTCTCAGTGCTAGAAATAGTTCAAGAACTATATTCAAAACTCTTGGCTACAATTTTGCTCTTTGACACAGCTGTAACATTTTGCAGAGACCTTCTTCACAGCTTCCAGTAGAACCAGTTGAAGTTCTAAAGGAAATCTGAAGCATTCCTTATCAGCTCATCTGTTCTGCTTCACAGTGATATGCATGTATAAAAACCTGTACAGATGCATATATCAATCTAATAAATACAGTCTAGCCTATCCTAAGGTTGTGGAAGTAATTCTAACCACTTTCTTTGTGAGGACATTTCTATCAAAATGAATTACACATAACTGAATCTGATATAGAATGAATTAAATCTTGAAAAACAACTTCAAGGAGATGTTGTAAGCACAGGGCATTGCCATTTAAACTGCTTTAAAAAACACTCAGCATGTTAAAAGACAGCAATCTGACATTAAGAAAAGGCAGGCAAATATTGTATATTAGCTTTTACTTAGTAAAGAACCCATCATTGTTCCCTTCCTGAGAAAACAGTGTTTGCACTTAAGAGACATTTGGTGTTAGAACCACTGACTAAAAGAAAGATATGCAAGCGAGACAGAGAATTACAAAGAAAAGGAAACTGCATGGGATGTGAAGACAGCAGCAGAAGAAATGGACAGTAAAAGGTAATTATGGTGTCAGCTGTAACAAATTCAGAAATAAGGAACATGCTTTTTACAGTTTTCTATACCAAAAGTTCTAAGTATAGCAATTAAGACCTGTATTTGAAAGTAAGTGTACACTATTTTTATGAGACCTCAATGAGTAAGCCTGTCTCCGAGAGCATCAAGTATTCTTCAACATGAATCCTCTAAATTGAACTGTGCAAAATAGTATCTTCTGTACCTAAAAATACTGAAGCTTTGCATTTTCTTGTGTATATTTTTAATTTTTTTGTGATATGAAAACACAGTTAACTGTAGTAGAATCTGTCACCATGTAAACTAGCCACCACTAATCCAGCAGATCATGCAGCCACGTGAACAGTGACAAGGTGTCAATATACTTCATTAATATGCTTGAATTACAGTACTACGGAGATTGATGACACACCGTATGCAAGAACATGAATACTAAAATCCAATGGAATTCAGCCTGAATTAGATTTGTTAGCTGTCAGGCACTGTTACATAGCATTATTCCCACCCCCCATTATCAAACCACTGCAAAGATGCACATAGACATAAAAATCACTTGAGGTGTCTATACACCTTATGGAAAGCATGCTCTACCAGACAGAAGTTTGCCTTGCAAGCTAGTAGCTCACAAATGCCCATGATATTTCAGTTGATAAACACAGATTAGCTTAGAGAAGTACCAATTTTTCAAGCTTGATTGCTTTTGTTACTGTGGTAAGATTATTGTGAGAAATCAGCGTAATTTTCTTCTTTTTTTTTTTTTTAATTAATTGTTTAGACTGTCAAATAGTCTTTTTAAAACACTCCCAGGCAACCTTAAAAGATGTTGAAAGTTAGAGTTAATTGAAACATTGCATCTAAACCAGGTTTAAATTAAAATACTGTATCAAAGGCAGTTTAACTTTTCTAACTTGAAACATTGTGTCAAAGTTTCAACTCAACTTTTTTAAGTATAGTACTGTTACACGTAAATTTCTCGCTGTACAATATTAAAACAATATTGCCCACAGATTACATGTAGACTGTTGCTACTAATACCGCAGAATCACATAGGTTAGAAAGAACGTCCAGAGATAGTCTTTTCCATACTTTTGCTCAAAGCAGGTCAAAGTACACAAGGCAATTCAGAGCCTCGTGCAGCCCAGTTCTCAGCATCTGAGGATTCTGTCCACAGTCTCTCTATACAACCTGCAGCAGTTTTACCATTCACAGGGTGATTTCTTTTTTTCTTGTCTCTAGTTGGAATTTTCCATGTTGCAACTTGTCCACATGGGTTCTTGTCTTTTCAGTGTGCACCGATATGCAGAGTTTGGCTCCATCTGCTCTGTACCCTTCTATTAAGTAGTTGAAAACAGCACTAAATTTCACCTTAGCTTCTCAAGGCTAGACAAACCCACTTCTCTCAGTCCATCCGTGCTGGACTCATGCCAGTACAGCATTGTTTTTCCTGTACTGGGGAACCAAGACTGCACACAATGCTCCAGGTGTGGTCTCCCAAGGGATGCACAGAGAAAACGAACATTTCCTTTGACTTTCTGGCTACACTTCCGCAACAGTATGCTATGCAGTTGTCTGCCTTTGCCACAAGAGTACACTGCTGACAAATATAAAGATGAAGTTATTGTCCATAAACACGTTATCTCACATGGGCCCTTTTAAATGAAAGCACTCAAGAACAAAGACCTCGTCATAAATATGGAGGCATATTGGGCCCTTTACCACTCAGCACTCTACATATTTGTGAAATTAATGGAAGGAACTGTTACCAGCTACCTCACATGCAGGACGTCCTGCTCTCCCAACTCCTGTGCCTCAGAGAAAGACCGGAGGTGGAAAGTTGTACCAAGATAACAGATGGCAAAACTCCGAAGTAAAGAATGTTCCTAAGAATCAATCTTACCATTCCATTCCAACTTACTCTTTAACACAATTAACAAATATAGCTTCCTCCCAGGTAAATTATGTAACATTTATTTTATCCAATTACCACCATCATCAGGGTCTGTAGTGATAGGACAAGGGGTAATGGGTTTAAACTTAAACAGGAGGAGTTCAGGTATATAAGATATGAGGAAATTCTTTACTGTGAGGGAGGTGAGGCACTGGAACAGGTTGCCCAAAGAAGCAGTAAATGCTCCATCCCTGGCAGTGTTCAAGGCCAGGCTGCACAGAGCCTTGAGCAACATGGTGTAGGGAGAGGCATCCCTGTCCATGGCAGGGAGGTTGGAACTGGATGATCTTAAGGTCCTTTCAAACAAAAACCATTCTATGATTCTATATGATTCTATGATCATGGCTCCCGACCAATGTGTTTAAGGAATGCAATATCAGAAAATAAGCAGAAAAAAACCCCACCAAAACCCCAGCCAAACTAGAACCTAGGGAGAAAAGAAAAAGAACAACAACCCCCTCCCCCTAACACCACAACAGAGGAAAACATAAGGAAAATCACAAAATAAACAGCACACAAGATGGAAAGAGTTTGTGAAAAACAGCTTCAGATTCTTACGCAGAGTTAAGAACTTGCTTAGCATTCATTTATATATTTATGTGTCTTAATATTACACATCTAATGCCTAACAATTCAAAATCTTAAAAAAAACCCAACAAAATAACCAAACAAAACCCCAACCACAATCCATCATCACAACCAAAACAAAAAACCTCTAAACGGAGAAGGTGTTTATAATCTGTTAACTCAGCGACATGCTGCCTTGAATTACAATGCTATCAATATAGCACAAGTGGATTCCAAAAAAAAACAACCAACAACCCAAAATTCTTAGTATACTCCTAAGTCTTTTCTTTACAGCCAGGCAGCAAATGCAAACCACCAATGGCTATCCTTCCATTTTTCAGTGACTATATTATTATTATTATTGCCTTCTCTTTTCCTCCTGATGAGTCCTTTCTCTTTTGTCTACTATTTCTCCCTCTCAACAATTCTTTCATGGCCCAAAAATTACTCTCATGGAGCAAGGAAAGCCATACTCTAGAGACAGAAAAGTGTCCCAGCATCAGTAGTTAAGGCTCAAAGAAAGATTGCAATATGGACAGAACTTCTTTAAGAGATATCAAATCATTTTAGTAAAAACACACTAATTCCAAATGCATTATTGGTATAACCTGCCAAAACTTTAATGCAGCTACACACAAGCTGAATATTACAGAAAGCGCTGCTCATACTTGGTTGGAGGTCTAGGAAAAACAAACTAGCAATGGCATTATAAGATTTAAAGTTTGAAGTAAAACTTGTGAGTTACTTTGTAAATCAAACTAGGTACTGTTTGCTATAATTACCAACAAAAGTCATTGGCCCTTTTATGCTGCTGAACCTGGGATTAAGTCATAAAGACTTGGATGGCACAAGTGGAATCCTCAGAAACCATTCCTGTACAAAAGAATATGATCTCCAGAAAAAATACACTGGACATGGAATACACAATGATTGCTATTCATTTATCATGCTCTTTCTGATAAAGTGTAAAAGAAGCACTTCAAGCACACATGGGTTGTATATTCAACTTAGAAAAACAGCCTTTTATTTACACTGTAGCAGTTCTGCAGCACTGTTTTAAAATCCTGGCTATATGAAAACTGTATAGTTTTTTATATCGTACACCTGAATTGCAAGTCTACCCTCATTTTGTAGCAAACTACTTACTAAATTTGCAGTAATTGAAACAAAACTGATGTGTTCTTACTTTATTCCCTTCGTATGCTTTTTTGTTTCAGAATTTGTGTTTCGTTTCAGAAATTCTCATTCTTAAAAAAAAAAAAAAATCCAAAAAGAAATAGCAATGGCTTAGCATTAGTATACACCTTCTATTATTTCCAATATTTATTATTGCTACTGAACACCCATAGGAAGTACCAAAGATTAGAAATGCATGCGACTAAGTCAAATTTGTAATGTAAGATCTTGTTTTAAAGCTTCCACAAGATATAAACTAGAAATGATCTTACAAAGCACACAAACATATAAGAGGTTGACAAAAAAATCTGTCTGCTTAGAATTTGTTAGTTTGCTTGTTCTTACCTTCTGTGCTTAATCCAGGACTTGAAGTGAATTTTGCTACATCGACAATCTTTACAGCAAACTGTTGCCCTGTTTCCCTGTTGATACATCGCCGCACAACACTGAACGGACCCCTGGAACACAAACAGAAAACAGCAATATATGACCCATTCTCTTTTATGTGTTGAGCTACAGTTCCATTACTCCTAAACAAAGTTTTCAACAAACAAAGATTTCAACATTCAAGTGTAGTAGTTCCATGGAAGCTTATACCTCTCATGCTTGCTGCTCATTAAAAAGTAAAATTAATAATTTTAACTACAGACCAGTATAAGGAACACTAAATGAGTTTTGTATTTTCCTATATTAGAAACCCCGTTCTCTTAGAAACCTTGTGTAGCACACTGACATTATTATTAAAAGTGTGCTTTATTTTGATAAATAATCCAAATAGGGGAGGGGATGAAGGGAACTCAAACCCAAACAAGAAGAGAAATAAAACCAAAACCCATCAACATCTCCAAAGAAGAGGCTAAAGTTTAGAAATTACTATTTCAAACAACTAAAAGGTTATTCCTTCTAAACAATTATAAGAGAATTGTTGAGCCATTCTGTTTGGTTTCATTTGTTTGTTTGACACAAACTAAGTTTATTCTGAGCTCATTTGACATCACTGGACATAAACAGCCTCCATAACAATACTTCAAAATTCCACAAAAACTTACAACCTCTCATCTATGGCACTTAAGAATCCTGACAGAGTTACAGATAAAAAGACTTATTAAAATTAGTCCAGACAGGTGTTAGTACTGCACTCAAGTAATAAATTATGAATGAAATCACATTTGCCAAAGCATGAGTTAGAACAATGTCAGCCTTTTAAAAACCATGACCACGTATACATTTTTGTAAGCTTCCTTTAGAAGATTATTTAAGGTCTTGGTGCCTTGCCTAAAATATGGACACTTCCATCCAATATTAAAGAACAAATAATGCAATGAGATAACTATGGTCAAACTTTAAAACACGAAAAAATTAAGAGGCCATGAAAACAGAACGGGATTGCTTCAAGACTGCAATAATTGCAGCAAATCAAGCCTTATTTAATGACTGACAAAATAGTTCTGAAGAAATCCATTCTGCAGTCTTCTCAAAAAGATGTAAGGGAAAATTTGAGGATGGAAAGAGCCTTTGTTCAGAAGTTTATTTATTAAGTTAACATTCACCTTGCTGAGTGAAATAAATGCTTAAATATAGCTTAAAAGACAAATTCTTCTATTCAAGCTGTGAACAGGAAGTTAGCTTACAGGTTTCTGAGCAATAAGATTATAAAGCAACACAATTCTTGAAATAAAAGATTCCCTGCAAAGGGAGAAATGTCCCCCTGAGGGTTCTTACAAACCTTTATGACTGGCTTTTGGTATTCCTTTATATACTAGATGATACAAATATGTAACTCAGCACACTACCAAACCTGTACTCCCATAGCTAAAAACCAATTCCTGTATTCCTTTAATAACAGACTTGCAAAGATTTCTATAAACTGGATCATTTCTGACACAAAACATGAATACCAAAACCAGGCAATGAATCACAGTCTAAACATTCACAAACAAGGAAAATACTTACTAGCACAGCTATATACATGCGAATTATGCTGTTGGGCTCAAACAGAACTAACTATACAAGAAAACACATGTGGTTTTCCTCTTCCCTTACTCCTAACATGCATTGAAATCTCCTCTAAATCCACACTCCACTGTTACTCAGTATCAGGCCTTTTACCAACAGCTACCACAGATATTTTAAAAAAAGATGTTCAGAACACTTAGAAACTCACACCTGTAAATGCAAAACGCCCAACTGACTTCATCTGGCACTAGAAAGACTACAGCCATTGACTTGTAATCCTCCCCTTCACATTTCAAAAAGTAATCATTTATTAAAAGGTCCCATTTTACATAGATCACTGTCACCTGCTTCTTCCAAGTCTGTTCACTCTTTTAGCATCTGTCAAAGTAAAATTGCTTTAAAATGGTATAAACACATTTACATTATGGTAATTTGGAAATAAATTACTAGAAATTAAATGTTTCATTAAAATGATTCTTTTCTTTTCATCCTCATTGTTTTTTCCCCATACAAAGCCTTTCTGAAGACATTAAATAACACTTCTAATATAATCTGATACAGAATGGTAGATCACTAGAATATAGGGATACCTTTCAAGACCATATCCATACTTATAGGTAAACCCCTGACTTCTACTCATTCACTTAAACTCCATGAATATTACTATGTTTTGCTGTTGACCAAGCTACTTCTAGATTTCCCAGTTTCCTCAAGTCTGGGCTGAACAGCCTGCCCAGCCACCTGAATATGCATACATACTTAGAGCAGATAAGCAGAGATAGTTGGAGGAACCATAAATCAAAAAGGAGCATATGAGCTGCAGCTCCAAGAGAGATCACATTTGTGGTCATCACTCCCTTCTCTCTTTTAACCATTACTTCTTTTTTCTTTGCTTATATATTAACATTTCATATTAGCCCTAACCCTAACCCGCTTCCTGCATATTAAGTCTGGGACAAGAAAATGTAAGCATCTTATCCAGTTCCATAATAAAGAGAGGATACAAAAAAAATCTGTACAGTCTCAACCTTTATGGCATATTGAAACTTAGCTATAGTTTTAACAGATCCTTCTCTACTTAGATTGAGGAATGCAAAGACTTTTTAAGTAAATCAAAAGTGTTTCAAAGCATAGAAAGTAAGAATTCAGTGACACCCACAATAAACTGATTTTATTATCAAAATACAGCAATTTAGAGTTTCATACAGAAATGAAAATATTTCTAAACATAACCTGAAGATTCAGCTATTTGCAAGCCTTAGACTCCCAGCTTTCTCAAAACAAGCTCTCTCATATTAAAGCCACAGACAGTCTCAAAATCAATGACAACAGCAGCACAGTAAAGGCTTGAATTTTCCAAGGGCAAGACTTCTGAGGAGTGGCTGATGTCACTTGGTTTGTTCAGCCTGGAGTAGAGAAGGCTGATGGGTGACTAGACCACAGCCTTCCTCAAGTGGGATGGTGGAGTGGGAAGTAGTCTGGTGACCAGTGACAGAACTTGAGCAAATGGAATGAAGCAGCATCAGGAGAGGTTCACGCTGGACATTAGGAAAATATTTATTAACACAGAAAATATTTATTACCTTCACTGAGAGGGTGTTTAGTCACTGGGACAGATTCCCCAGCAACTCTGTTGGTCACAGCACCAACCCTGTCAATGTTCAAAGAATCTCTGGATAATGCTCTTAGTCATATGATTTAGTTCTAGGTAGTCCTGCGAGGAGAAGGGGTTCGACTTGATGGTCCCATTGAGAGAGGACCCATAAAAGATCCTTATGGATGCCTTCCAACTCGAGATATTCTGTCATTCTGTGATTTTGAAACACTCATGACAGGCGCACTCATTAATTAAGCAGACACCATTGCCTCCACATGCTAAGTAGCAGAAAAGATCTTTTAAATACATAGTTTGCAGTTAGTTTTTCCTCACAGCTGCAATGACACACAGCAATTTTACAAATAAAGTTTTAATAGCCCATGTCTAATCTGAGTCACAAAACAAAAGCCCATGCTTCCTAACACAGTTGTTTCAAACCTTATTTGGAATTTAAATAACAGAAGTCTTTCAGGTCACCCTCAAGTCTCAGCAGTAAAATCATTCCCAGTCAAGAAGAGGACTACAATATTTCATCTCTCTAATAAGACAAGGAGCTATTCAACAGTTGTGTCTGCCACTGGGGAAACATATATTGTCTCTAAATGACAATTTCTATAGCCCATTTTAGTAACCCTGCAGCTCAAATTATACAGCCCTAAAACACAGAGGTAATATAGACAGGGGAAGGGACAATTGTAACACTAGATACAGACATTCAAAACTGTTACAGACAGATCAGACTGACTATTTCTTTATTTATTAAAACAGAGGAACCAAGTTAAGCTGCATAGTAAGACTTCACCTTGTAAGTCATATAAACTAGAACGTCACGCGGTTTATATTTGTTTCTCTCTGTGCTACCTTTGACAAACATTCCTGCTGATACACGCAAATCTTTGGTTTCAGACCTCCTGTCTCTCCACGAGCTTCAAAATCTTTCACTGCAGTTTACATGCACACAACAGACTACAACAGCTCAAAACATGAGAATCATTAAAAAAATGCAAGTAGTAAGGACAGATGTTTTTTTCACTGATGTTTTGTCAACATTGGTAGAGCGCATTCCAGCACCTACAATCCTTTGAGTCCCACCCGCAATGTATACCAGGAAGCAAAATGCATTTACTTAAACTGAAGTTGAAATGTATGCTGATTTTGGCTGTCTACTGCAACTGGAAATAAAAGTATACCACCACATTATTAAGGAAGCTGTTGATTACAGGTAGACCATAAGAAAGTGGACAGGAATGCTGAAGAGGTGCCTTACAGCCACTTAGAATCATAGAATAATTAGGGTTGGAAAGGCCCTTAAGATCATCAAGTTCCAACCCCCTGCCATGGGCAGGGACACCTCACACTAAACCATCTCACCCAAGGCTTCGTCCAGCCTGGTCTTGAACACTGCCAGGGATGGAGCATTCACAACCTCCCTGGGCAACCTATTCAGGTAAGAATTCTTTTCATGCTTCCAAAATCTGAATAAGCAGGGCAGGTCCTGATATAACCTTAACTTTACTGAAACTATTTTATGGTGCTTAGCTTTACTGTCTAGCACAGAACAATTAATTTTATATCAGCTGGATGCCAACCTGAAGAAAATCAATTATATTACTCCCTCTTTGAGAAGTATACCGCTTAAAGAATAAAATCCTAAAAATTTGAAACCATCAAAGACCTTTTTATAACCTCTTTCACTTTAGATTATTTTACTTAGTGTATGTCATTAGGACTTCAAGGGTAAGTACCATAAGCAATATTTTGCAACCTATTTTTTTTATAGTAGAATCTTGCTGTTTTATCTGCCTCTCTTGCACTCCAAACCATGTTTGGACAGAGCCTTGGGTGACATGGTTTAGTGTGAGGTGATCCTGCTCATGGCAGGGGGGTTGGAACTAGATGATTTTA